GGTTTCACAGCTGAATTCTACAAAAACTTAGAGAAGATGTGGCCCAGTGATTTAGCTCAGTGGTTCTGCTGCCTGCCTCAGAAAGGTCCCAAGTTTGATCCCTGGTACCCACCCCCCAAAAAACTTTAGAGAAGATCTACTATCGGTTCTCCTCAAACTCTTTAACGAAATAGAAAGACAGATAATACTCTGAATCATTCCTGGAAGAAAGCATTACCCTGATACAAAAAGCACTGATATACTAAGACCACTCAGTTGTGCAATTCTTCGTGCATGAGAGACCACACCGGTGTTTCATTTATATTGCTTCAGTTTTCTCTGCTTTTTTTTTTTGTTGTTGTTTTCCTATGGGATACTTGAGGATTTTTTAGAATTCAGTTTTTATTCATCTATAGTACTTTTAAGTATGTCTCCTCGTGTACCCATTGGTCCAGGCACTGCTTTATATACATAACTTACCACATTTTTTAGTACTACTGTTTTATTTGTTTAAGTGAAGTATATAAAATGTATCTAATTTCCCCTCCTGTTTATAATAATACCAATGCTTCTTTTTTAACGACCTACCTGTTAAACTACTATTTGGATTTATGAGCCGGTGACCGAGGCACGCTGTTCAGACTTAGCACCCATGGCTTGGACTTCGAATGAGGATTCAGATCTATGATGCAGGAACTGGGGCAGCAGCACAGTCTCATGGTGTCTTCTCCTGCAGAAAACAGCACTCTCTGTAATTCCTGCAACTGCACTGTACCGTACAGTACTGCAGGTTTAGGTTCTATTACATGTTGCAGCACTGTATGTAAGAGTTACACAAATAAAAGCAAAGTCATAACGTTGGAGTTTCCTTTGACTGTTTCTTTGTTCTGAGTATCGTAATGCAATACTCTATACAAGTCCTCATTTTGGACCAGTCATTTAACGTCCTGCCTATGGCTGAACTGGGTCATTAAGGGAGTGTCTGTAATTGTTTTAATTGCTTCTTTTACATACAAGTAGAGCAATCTCGGCAGTGTTGGTGTTGTTCTACACTCATGTAACATAATTTAAAATCCAAGGAGAAAATGAAAGTTGATGGTAATCACCCATACTTTTGCTCACTGCTTCCTCTTTCCCATATTCCTTCTTTCTTAATTTTCTTTGTGTTTTGAGCTTCCCTTAGTCGTACTGTTACAGTAAATCATCTGGCAAAACTTTTCTTTATTGTTTCTTTGTCTGTCTGTGTTTCCTTTTCCTTCATTTGAAAATGTCTGACACCCCCACCTTCATTCCCAAGAATATTTCCGAGGTGCAGGATGGTGGCTTGACAGCTATTTTCTTTAAAATTGTTGTGCAGCCAGACACAGTGGTGCACACTTTTAATCCCAGCACTTGGGCAGCTGAGGCAAGAGGTTCACTTTGTGTTCAGTAATAAGCTAAAGGCCAGCCTGAGAGACCCCCATATCAAAATAAAAATAAAACAAAATTATTCTGCCATTTTCTTCTGGTCTCTACATTATCTTTGTGATCATTCACATGTTTTCTCTTTGGCTGCTTTTAAAGTTTTTTCCTATCTTTAATGGATTCCTGCCTCCCTCTGGGCTACGCCAATACCAGTGTCAGCCTTTTGCTCCAGTGCATGGGCCCTGCAGCCCTGCAAATCTTCAGTGTGCTTTCCACTGCTGTGTCTTCCTGTCAGATTCCTCGGTCCCCCACATTCTGCTGTAAACCCATTCTTTAGGCTTTTATATTTTGATCATTACATCTATAGTACTTTTAAGTATGTCTCCTCGTGTACCCATTGGTCCAGGCACTGCTTTATATACATAACTTACCACATTTTTTAGTACTACTGTTTTATTTGTTTAAGTGAAGTATATAAAATGTATCTAATTTCCCCTCCTGTTTATAATAATACCAATGCTTCTTTTTTAACGACCTACCTGTTAAACTACTATTTGGATTTATGAGCCGGTGACCGAGGCACGCTGTTCAGACTTAGCACCCATGGCTTGGACTTCGAATGAGGATTCAGATCTATGATGCAGGAACTGGGGCAGCAGCACAGTCTCATGGTGTCTTCTCCTGCAGAAAACAGCACTCTCTGTAATTCCTGCAACTGCACTGTACCGTACAGTACTGCAGGTTTAGGTTCTATTACATGTTGCAGCACTGTATGTAAGAGTTACACAAATAAAAGCAAAGTCATAACGTTGGAGTTTCCTTTGACTGTTTCTTTGTTCTGAGTATCGTAATGCAATACTCTATACAAGTCCTCATTTTGGACCAGTCATTTAACGTCCTGCCTATGGCTGAACTGGGTCATTAAGGGAGTGTCTGTAATTGTTTTAATTGCTTCTTTTACATACAAGTAGAGCAATCTCGGCAGTGTTGGTGTTGTTCTACACTCATGTAACATAATTTAAAATCCAAGGAGAAAATGAAAGTTGATGGTAATCACCCATACTTTTGCTCACTGCTTCCTCTTTCCCATATTCCTTCTTTCTTAATTTTCTTTGTGTTTTGAGCTTCCCTTAGTCGTACTGTTACAGTAAATCATCTGGCAAAACTTTTCTTTATTGTTTCTTTGTCTGTCTGTGTTTCCTTTTCCTTCATTTGAAAATGTCTGACACCCCCACCTTCATTCCCAAGAATATTTCCGAGGTGCAGGATGGTGGCTTGACAGCTATTTTCTTTAAAATTGTTGTGCAGCCAGACACAGTGGTGCACACTTTTAATCCCAGCACTTGGGCAGCTGAGGCAAGAGGTTCACTTTGTGTTCAGTAATAAGCTAAAGGCCAGCCTGAGAGACCCCCATATCAAAATAAAAATAAAACAAAATTATTCTGCCATTTTCTTCTGGTCTCTACATTATCTTTGTGATCATTCACATGTTTTCTCTTTGGCTGCTTTTAAAGTTTTTTCCTATCTTTAATGGATTCCTGCCTCCCTCTGGGCTACGCCAATACCAGTGTCAGCCTTTTGCTCCAGTGCATGGGCCCTGCAGCCCTGCAAATCTTCAGTGTGCTTTCCACTGCTGTGTCTTCCTGTCAGATTCCTCGGTCCCCCACATTCTGCTGTAAACCCATTCTTTAGGCTTTTATATTTTGATCATTACATTTTTCAAGTCAAAATTTTCCATTTTGTTCTTTATAGATTCTATTTCTCTCTTTAAACTTTTTATTTCTTTACTAAGAGTTTCTTTTTATTTGCTTTAAGCATGTTTGCCATTACTTTTTGAAGCACTGTAATCATGGCTGCCTTAAGTCTTGGCCAAGTAATCGAACACCTGTACTTTGATGTCGGCACACACTGATGGTCTTCGCACTTCTCTGTGTGAAGACCAATAATCAGCAGCAACACAGACCTTTCAACTCACTTCGCTTTGTCTGGTCTTCTTCAGCTCCACCTGGCACCATTGCTATCAGAGATGGCAGCTGGGACCCCACCTAGGGATTGAGGACTCCTCATCACTGCCAGCAGGCAGGAGTTCTGGCTCCACGTAGCCTCCACCGGTGCCATGGGTGGTGACTGTGACACCCTGGGTGGTGCCCACCATCCTGAGTGTCCACTGGGCTGACCTGACGCCACTCAGGTCAAGAGGGGTTGTGTCACACAAGTGCTGGGGGCTGGGGTTGAGGCGCCCTTTGTCTGCAGCCTGGTGCTCTGGGGAAACTGCCCTCTGGCCAGGTCACTGCCCTTCCTATAGGCACAGGGCCACTCTGACCACTCGTGTGCAGCCAGGGCACAGGGCTGCTTCTGGAACTCAGACTGCAACGGGACAGGGGTTCAAAGACATCCAGGAAGGGCCCATGTCTGATCAAGAACATTTCTGTTCTTCACAAACTCGATGGCTACAGACACAAGTAGATTCAGATCCCTGCCGCTGGGGTCCCAGGCACGGGGACCTGAACAGAGTGAGAACAGCCTCCAGCACCCCTGAGCCTAGATAACCCTCCGCACTTGATGTTGGGGAAAAGTACTGGCTAAAAGCCGGAATTTCAGGGTTCTTGTTTTACAGACAAACTCTGAAGTACCTTAAAGAAAAAAGGCCTACAGAAGTCTTCCTTCTTCTTCCCAAAGAAACCATGTGCCCACATGAGTCCCCCGGGGAGAGCCTGGCTGCAACAGTGAGTGAGTGATTCCGTGGCAATAACCTGTGTGTGAGCACACACGGCTCTGTCGGGGTCTGCCTTTCATACCGTTGAGCCCAGTGAGCCCATTCCCCACCTGGTCTCTGTACCCCACTCCCTGCTGAGGAGGCAATGCAGACCTGTGCCACTGCACGAAACCTCCAGGTCCTGGAACTGTCTGTACTCTGGGAGCTCAGGCTGCAGGCAGAGGAACGGTTTAGTGTTCAGGGTGCGCTACACATGTGCTGCTCACGCACTCCACCCACAGACCCTCATCACAGCCCTGGGACCAGGAGGGCACAGACCTCACGGAAATGTACCTCGAAGACACCAGGAGGGAGCACACCTGTGCCAGGAGCTGCCACCTCGTGGCTGGGCTCCTCCAGAGACACAGAGACCCATGGAGACTATCCCACCCCAGCAGGGGCAAGACGGCATCACCCTCAGGCACAGGTTGGCCTTTCCCCACTGTGACGCCATTCCACCTGCCATCCGTGGAGGCAAACGCCCGACGTCAAGGGCTGCAGGGTCACTCTGGCAGTGCCTAAGGCCCTCTGCAGAAGCTCAAGGTTGAAGCTTTTGTCCCAGGAGGGCAGGTCTGATCTGAGCCATGTTTGTACTTCACCTCCTATTGGAGGCAAGTGACAGAGTCACCAGCCGAGGACATCCCAAGGGCATGCCGGGCTGCCTCACACCAGGACGTGGGGGAGGGCGTGATAGTGGGGACTGCAAGCGGCAGTCCCCGCGGCCCCTCCTGTGTTTGGAGACGATGGAGAGCTGATAACCACCTCTCAGGTGCCCTTGACCTCCTCCTAGGAGACTATAAGACCGAGGGAGGACTGCATCTCTCTGCCTGGCCGGGAGCAGAGGGCACCTCCCAACGGGGACATGGCGGCTCTGCAGGAGAAGAAGTCCTGCAGCCAGAGGATGGAAGAGTTTCGGCACTACTGCTGGAATCCGGACACCGGGCAGATGCTGGGCCGCACCCCGGCCCGCTGGGGTAGGTATGGGCGATCGCCCCTTCCTGGGGAGTGGGGCAGGGCAGGAGTGGAGGGCAGGACCGGCCTGGCCAGGACTTTGTCTGGGAGCAGAGTTTAGGCATCTTGATCCCCAGCTGACCCTGCAGGCAGGAGCACCTGGTGGGCCTGGATTTCCACAGTGTGTTTGAGAACAGCACTTTATAACCCATGATTCTCAAACTAAGTCTAAAGAATTTTAAAAGCAGTGATGGTGGGACTAGGGATTTAGCTCAGTGGTGCCACCACCTGCCTCACAGGCACAAGGTCCTGAGTTACATCCCTAATACCAAAAAAAAAAAAAAAAAAAAAA